TTCTATAAAATATGAGTGATTATGACACACTAGTTATGAAACTATTTAACCTAAATATCAAATTAATTTTTTTTATCTAAGGTTTTTGGTTGAGACAAAAAATTAGTGTCACGAGCGGGATTCAAACCCACGACCTGCGGCTGAATTATCGTGACTTCGATCCCCTCGGACACCAACTTCTCATCTCAACCGTTCAAATTTTTCGCCATATTTTCATTATCCGAAGGTCGTGGGTTCGAATCCCGCTCATGACACTAATTTTTCATCTCAACCAAAAAACTTATATAAAGAGAATAATTAATTGGAATAATTAATATGGTCAATTATGATCACTAAACAAATATGGATTAACTAAATATCAAATTAACAATCAAATCTTTTTTAACATTATCAGAATATTTTAAAAAACAACATTGATTTTTAGACATTTGTTTAATCAATTAATACTACTCCTTACTTTTATAAGTCGTGAAACTTTTGTTTTGACGGTGACTATTTGATTGTTTTTTCAATATTTTGAAATTTTCTATTATTTTTACCAATTTTTATTATGTGTGTTATTTATACAGAGAAATCGAGAAAATTGTTACACAAAACGGTTGAGATTGGAAGTTGGTGTCCGAGTGGATCGAGGTCACGATAGCTCAAGTGGTAGAGCAGTGACGTATCAAGCCTAAGATCGTGGGTTCGAATCCCGCTCGTGCCATTGACTTTTTTATCTCAACTAAAAACCTTAATTAATTGTAGTTTAAATAACAGTTGGTTGAGAGGAGGAATCGGTGTCTCGTGGACCGATGACAAGTGATAGAGCACCGGGTACAGGTCGTAGGTTCGACTCCTGCCCGTGATACTAATTTTTCTTCTCAATATAATTTGCATAAAAATTGGGGAAAAGAATAATAAAAATAATGTTATAAAACCTCAAAGATATATACTATATCATCAGCAATACAGGGTGACATTTTTAGATGGTTCAGCTTAATTTCTCTGGAATCAATACCTCTATAAAAAAATACGTATTTAATATTGTTTAGTCTAGTTTCAAATTTTTACCCTTTTTTTAAGAAAAATTATACAGGGTACCTCAGGCCCAGTTCAACTTCACAATTTCAAACACGACCCTATACACCCTGACACATTTTTACATTTTTAAGGATATTTTATACTGAAAACATTTGTGCAATCCAATTGTAAATTGGTCAAAAAATGACAAAATTATGGCAAAAAGTTTGAAAAAACAGTCATTTGATTTGCTATTTATTAACCACATTTCATGTTCGAACTGTCTGCCTTGCGTAAAGATGCAAAGATTTTATCTTTTTAACCACCCTTCACCGGTGCTCTGAGAGATAGAGTCAGGGGAGATGGATTGACAAGCATTTTCTACCCTTTGCAGCAGTTTTACAACTGAGGTTAGTGGGTGGCCCCACAGAAAATACTCAAGTGGAGTTAAATCGAGTGAGCGAAGAGGCCATGAGGTCCTATCCAACTATCCCGGAAGTGACGATTCAAATAACGTCTCACCTGCAAAGAATTGTGTGCGGGTCACCATCAAGCTGGAAAATCATTCTTTATCGTTGTTGCAGAGGAAGATCATCTAAGTGTTGGAAAACCCCCCTCAAAAATTTGAGGAACTGAGCACCGTTTAAATTATTTTCCTATAAATAAGGCCCAATTAATTTATTTCACACAGGTGAAGTCCACACCAAACGTTGATACTGTGAACCATCTGATGATGGCAAGAGTACAAAATTCTCGGCTTTTCCTTTGCCAACGTTCGAAAATTCCAACAGTTATGCAATTAAAGGTGAACTTGGATTCATCAGTCCATAGGATGTATGGAAGAAAGTTTTCTTCAGCCTCCCAAATCGACATTTATGCAAGGAACGTTTGACGCCTGTCGCCCTGACGCCCGAACTCCCTGGACAAGATGAGAGCGATACGGCTTAAAATTGTACATCTCTAATTTTATTTTTTGAAAAACCTTGAGAGAGGAATTCGGATTTTCTCGAACATACAGTAAAATATTCAGCTCCTCGTCGAAATTTCGCTTCCGGTTTCTTGGTGATGGAACAGCAACTGATCAGTATCTCCTCATATTGCGAGCAACACGACTAAACGCTTTGTGGTTTAGTCTGGGGCGACCATCAAAATTTCTGGTAGTGCACTCGACAGCACCACTATCAATAAAGCAGTCGTACATATCAATTCGTTGTTGATCGGAAAAATGTGCTCTTCGGTTCATTTTGAATGGAATGTAACGAATAGGTACTATTGTAAAATTTATTTACTTCTAGAAATTAACGTTTGCTCTCACAATGCGAATTTGATAAACAATGACAGAATGTAAAGAATAAAAGCGATTATGTTCGCTTTAGTGAAGAAACAAATTATTGGAATTAACAACAAAACGACTGCGCTTTTTCAAATTTTTTGCCATAACTTTGTCACTTGTTGACCAATTTAAAATCCAACTGCACAAAATAATAATAATGCATAAAATATCTCTTAAAATGATCTTCAGGTTGTATAGGGTCGTAGTTGAAATTTTCAAAAACTGAGCCTGAGGTACACTGTATAATTTTCCTCCAAAAAACGATAATAATTTGAAAGTCAACTAAAAAATATTAAACTTTTTTTTATAGCGACATTGGTTCAAGAGAAATTCAGCTGGGTCACCTAAAAGGACATCTTGTATAAGCCTGTAATGTTTTCATTTTGTAATAAAATATTTGAAAAAAAAAGATAACCTTCATTTCCTTTCTCTAGCTTTCAAGGAACACATCGTCTTTAACAAGACTTTGAAATTGTATTAATAATTTACAAGATTAACCAATATGAAAATATACTAGCGCTCATAATATGGGTTGACCTTTTAAATTATTTAAAAATTTAAATTAAGGCATTTAATTCTTTTAAATAAATGCAATTACTATTTACTTTAGTGAAGAAACAAATACTGGAACTAATGAAACAAACGAAATGCGCTTTTTCAAACTTTTTGCCATAACAGTCAATTTTTGACCAATTTAAAATCCGATTGCACCATTGTTTTCAGCGTTAGCACCAAAATATCCTTTAAAATGATGTGGCAGGATGTAATATATATTACACAGGGCGGGCGACCAGGACCCGAGGGGTTAAAAGCCTGAGTAGGCCCGTACCCCATCCCTAAAAGGTCCGGGACCTGGTCGGCTCACGAGTNACTTTTTTATCTCAACTAAAAACCTTAATTAATTGTAATATATTAATTGGTCAAGCGGACCACGAAATTGTGAATTTAATGGTTACACAACACATTGAACCCAAAAATATTTTCATCTTAAAAAAAGCCTAACAGTGATCACCACATGACCCTGGGATCCATCGCAACCAGAGGTTGGTGTGAAACTTTTCGAATCGGGAACGGATCAGTGAGTTGATAAAAGGAATATTGATGTCGTTGTGGATAATGAGGTTAGTGACGAAGTAAAGAACATTGACGATTTGCTGAGGACTTTTGATTGGAAGGGTGTTGAAGGATATCGGATGCTTGACAAAACCGTATGTCCAAAGTTGTCGCAGTCTTGTATAGCCGAACGTCGTGGGTTCGAATCCCGCTCGTGACTCTTAACTTTTTCATTTCAACCTAGACTTTACATAAAAAGCATAATTAATTGAAAGAAGTAATGTCGTCAATTAGACCACTAAACATAATAGGTCTTGTATAAGGTTAGTTTAGTTTTGAATGGTTGATGTCGGTCCGAGATGTCTTCGTTTTCAAGGTATAGTCCCTTGACCTGAATGCAAGTCGGTATCTCTTTGTTGTTGATGTAGTGGAGGACATGAGTGTTTTTTTCTGTTTTTTTTAAAGGGGCATCCGACAGCTTACGCATTCACACAAATGAATACATTCACACCAATATATATTGCATTAATTTTATTTGGTAGATGGAGTACTCATAATTCCTCCATCGACCTGTAGACAATAACAAATTAATCTAATTGGGGTCGATGGGGTACTTTTATAAATATACCGCCATCGTCCCAAGTCATGTATACAGCTCGAGGGGCGATCGGGATGCTATTGCCACCATCAGACCCTCCCCATTCACTCTAATAAATACACTCACTCATACAACAAAAACACAAAGCACATATTTTGAAGGCTATATACAATAAAAATTTCCCAATTCCAATAAAAAACTGAAACTCGCTACCATGTCCGAGAACGATTCTTAAATCCGGCGGCATGCCTATACGCTCTCTATATGTATCCAAGGCACGCCTCTATTAAGGGTCACATCGAGCAACATTTCTCTGCATAAGTGGCACCTTCGCGGGATTTGTTCAATTGATTATTAACATCATTAATCGAATTATAACAACAAAAACAGTAATCATACAACGAAATCTAACTCTGTCAAAGAAGTTATGGACCTTGTATTTTTCATTTTTTTCAAAAGATAAAAGGGGAAAGGAGAGTTAAATATTCTGGATAACTATCTTCAATTTAATAACAATATATATTTAATTTATTCATCTTCTCTGAAAATAATTGAGATCTGGGAAATTAATCCCCACACTGAACCAGTGGGATATTGTCTAAGGAAATCGGTATTTCAAATTAGCAAAAGCCCTTCCCCTCAACAGGCATTGTATGTTCGTAAATATCAAACAGACACTCAATTGATTGTGAAAGGAGGTCAGGGATTTTCTAAGCAAATTTCAATAAAAGATTATACATTTAATTATCGAATTTGCTTGCTTTAATAAATTTTGAACATCATGTACAAGCTAATAACATAAAAATAGGAAGCATACAATATCATCAAACAAATATGTCATTTTTTTAAACATAAACAATTAAAACAAAAATCAACAATTATCAAAATTAAATAATAAATCATATATGACAAGTGTTAAGTAAAAGTGATTAAAATGAGTTGTGTCACTTGAATTGTCATTAATATATTTTTTAATTATTTGTTAATGTCAAAACAAAAAAACTGTATACTCACAAAATAGTAGTGTCAAGTAATGAAACGAACTTGTTTTCCAGTAGGTTTCAATTACGTGTCCTCGTCCCCAAATTTCACCCCCGGTAAAGCTGGAAATGGAAACTATTGGCAATCCGTGAACCTGGAACTCAACTGATTTCATTTTCGAGTTTTCGAATAACTCAGGTGATGATCCCCACCAATTTTTCCACCTCCACGGCCCAAACTAAGAGGAGGTGATGAAGAATTGGTGGAGTCCAACCGGGTCGGACGAATTTTTTAGAAGGAGTGGCCAAAACTAATATTTTATCTCTCTATTGGCAAGTTTGCAATATATTTGCTACAACCACACTGCTGTCGAATTAAAAAAAAAACCTCCACACTCAAGAAAGTCAAAAAAGAAATTAAATTCATTCTTACTCTCCTATTATATAATTTTTGTCTATGCATTGCAATCAAATTTTATATAGCGTTTTCGCTTACTTAGAACCAGTTTCTAAGACAGGTTAGTCCTATTTGTTATGTTGATGATTGGTTGTCTATCGCCTAAAATTTTGTTATTGGATACGATTTGAAATATCCAGCCAGGAATTCGGCGATAGTTGACGTGGTTTTGAAACGTATCAACGGTTTGTGATAAACACGTTTTCATTGACGTCCATTGACCCGGACCGACGATAGTCAATAGAGAAGCGTCCACAATTTCTTTGCAAACTCTTTCTCTCTGTTCACAGACCAAAGTTAACCCCAAAAATCCAGCACTCCTGCGTTTGTCGTACTATTAATTAAACATTTAATATTTATAACTTCCGATTAATTTTTTTATGGGACCATCATGGGACTTAGCACGGCTTTAAGGTCAAATATTAGTAAAACTTTGGACTTATTTTGTAATGCTTATTAAATCTAATGATACTACGGCGGCAATAAGTGAATAAGACAAAGATATAACAGAAATAATAATAATAAAGCATTTATCAAACTTATAACGTAATACAACAAAACTTAATAAAAAAATCTCAACCTTCTACACTTCTGAGCCATAGGCCGAGAGAATCATCAATTTCTATGTACTAAGGCTTTACATTTTAGAGGTCAGTACTTTGTGTGGTGTTTAGTGACCGTTAGCCAATGATTATTTGGCGATCGTGAGGTGCGGTCTGGTGTCACGTAGGTTTTAGAACAACATTTTCTTTATCGTGCCAACGTTTCGATCTTTATTGACAACATCTTCAGGGCTCAAAGTGTTTTTTCGTGTACATGTGTCATTCAGTATCCCTGCTCGTGGCTCTCAACATGACACACAAGAATGACACATCTACACGGAAAACAAACACTTTGAACCCTGAAGATGATCTCAATAAAGATCGAAACGTAGGTACGATAAAGAAAATGTTTTTCTTAAACCTACTTCACATCAGACAGCACCTCACGATCTCCAAATAAACTTTGTAAAATGTTATTTTCTTGTTATATTCATAAAGTGAAAATAATTGCTTGTAGGAGTCATGATATTGAGTGGACAAGGGTTTTATATAATCCAAGTTACACCATTTTCCTATTTTTCAGGTTTGTTAGTTATCTTTATAATATTTTATTATTTATGAGATTTCTTCGTAGGGTCTGAGGGAGATGCGAGCATTTTGATTCATACACGATAGGCAGTCCAAAATGATCGGATACGACCAAATTATAGTTTTTGGTTTGTTACTTCTACCGGACTGAACGCTACCCGAGGTGCTACTCGACTACCAAAACTTCGGTTTCCTTCTACAACCGTGTCCGGCTTAAGGACCCGCCTCGGGCACTACATACAACCTTAATACACCCCGGTCACTACAACAGCTAATGCCCAGTCTTTTACTAAAGGATTCCTTCGAAAACTTTGTCTGGATGTGCATCCAGTCGAACCTCGCTCCTCCTACCAGAATAATGTACCCCGCAGAAGAAACGGAACGGAATCTAAAAGTTATAGTCGGTGAGTGCATGCATAAATGTCGTTTCGTAAACGTCCTCAGAAATGCTATTATTAATATCATATAATTAACACTCTTATCCCCTGAATATGTGGATGTTAACCTAATATCCGTGATATTTTGTTTTTTTACGATAGTATTTTAACTACGAGGTAAAGTAATTCGAACCCGGCACCTTTGTCTTACGGTGATGAGCGCCGTGTAACCCCTTTTTCACCGCGGTAGCCGAGTGGTTAGCGGGAGAGACTCTCGGCTCATAGCACCCCCAATATGAACACACATATAAGAATTCGTCACCATGATTAATATGCATAGATCATAAGGAAAAAAAACACCTTTTTCCTCTTTTAGATGGTCTGATCGTATCATGCAATATTTCCAAACAGCTGTGAACACCCAGATAGTACTAATTATTTACATTTCTCTTCACATCGAGAGCTCTTCTAGATAAAAAGCACAACCTTATATAAATGCAATTAACAAAATCCGAAACAAACGTGTTAAAATAAGCTGCGCTAAAATGAACAAAAATATTTGTAATTTATTCTTATTCTAATAATTTTAATTAAATTAACCGATATATTCTTGTTAGTTGGATAAAGCAAAATATAAAATACAAACTACAAACAAACCTTTGATAATTCTCATTTTTAATAACGGATTTACTTAAGAATGGTAAACATGAAGATTACTTATTTTAATCCATATTTGCTTAGTGATTATATATATATATATATATAAAGTGGAAGGTTTATGGGCCGACAAACAGCTGAGGTCATCGCCGGCCCTCCGCATGTATTCCTTCTCTTTCCTGTCTTTCTCGCGTATTTTGTATTGAACTGCAGCCATTTGAGCATCTCGATCTGGTTACTGACTCTCTGCTTTTACTTGTATATTACGTCGTTNGAATCCCGCCTGATGTCGGCAGTAGAGTCCTCGAGTCTCCAAATTCCATACTAGTCTTCTGTTTATAATAGACTCGAGGACTTTACCCAAGCAGGTGGTCAACGATATCGGCCTGTAGCTTGATGGCTGGCTAGGGTCTTTACCTTCTTTGGCTATCGGTACTATGATGGCTTCTTTCCATTGCTCCGGATATGTTCCGGCGCACCAAATGCTATTAAACAACTCTAAGAGGCGACGCCTTAGTGATTATAATTGATCATATTAATTATCCCAATTAATTATTCTTTTTATTTAAGTTTTTTGTCTCAACCAAAAACAGATCAAAATAATAATTAATTGGATTGGACATTTTAGCAGTTTTTCTCGTCTTTTCTCCATTTTAATCCAATTGCATAATCTTTAACCATAGGGGCGTCGGTGGCCGCAACTGTTTAGGCCTTGACACGGCGCATATCATTGTAAGGTCAAGGTCCCGGGTTCGAACCCAGCGGCCCCGAACCCGACATACTTACAAATGGGCTTGTAAAACAACATCTGCACCCCCGAGGGTTCATATAATCTCGTAGTTGAAATACCCTCGTTTAAAAAATAAAAAATAAAAAATTAATATTTAACCATGGAACGACATCGTCTTGAATCAGAAGTTCGCAGCCCGCCACCCGCAACTCAGGACAATATGGTGCAACAAGCACTTAGAAGAGAAAACAATTGGAATCCCGTTATGTTTATTGGTGAGTCGCGTTTCTGTCTGTATGATAATAGTAGAAGAAACTGGACCTCGCATTAAAGTTACAAATAAAATACTTAAGTTCGATAGTCCATTATGAAGAACCATACTAGACCTTAGGACCTCTGTGTATTTGGTTACTTGTTAAAAAATATTTATCGTGTTTTTGGACTAATCCGGCCTTTCATAAAGAAAAACAGCTTGCAAATCATCTTTAAGTGGGAAAGCATAAATAGAGGAGAAAATTGGGAAATATTATTTTATAATTTGTTGGACTGTCTTCTCCTAACAAAGTTTCGTCTTTACTACTTAATTCTGACTTAACATATAAAGTGATATGTATTTTTTTTAAACTTGTTTGAAGAAACTACTTGACTTTACAAATTTCAACGCGTTTGATGCAACAAGTACGCTAAAGTTAAAACGTCCAATTATTCCAAATTCTTGTAAAATTGTCTTAGAACCGTTTTAAACGGTTCTTACTTTCATATTCAGCCCAAAAGTTAATATTTGCTAATTGTGACCCGCGAGGAATGCAAATGGGTCTGTGTTTAATGATTGTGGCACGTGAGAGGGGAAAGCCATTTTGCTGGCATGCCAAATATGTTTTCTTCAGTGATTCAATCATGCGAAAGTCTCACATTAGGATCGCCTCTGGAGTTTGATCATTCCTCGAGATTAAAATTACATATATATTTATAGATACTATATATATTGTATATATTTATGTAGGAAAACTTACAATTGTTGAATACGTCTGTATTTCATATAACTTACAAGGCTGGGAGAAAAAAAAAATCCCCATGTAATATAGTCAGGCTAACTTCCCTCAGAGAGATTTGTGTGACTTATGCACGGACGATTTCAGCCCTAGGTGTTTCAACCCTTTAGCAACTGCCACAAACATAATAAAACATAAATCAGATGAAAAATGTCAGCCCATCAACCCTGGGTAAAACGCTCCTTGGATGTTCTTAAACAAAAGGTTAAAACGTTCTCTATTTTTATCTTTTGTCATTATGAGAAAAAAATAAGTTAAACTAAAATAAATATGCTGATAACAAATAATAATCCGACAATGCTAAATGTAAAAACGCTTTTAGTAATAAACACAATTCAACGGCCGAATATGTGTTGAAACAATTTTCAAACCCTTTAATGAGTAAAGTATTAATTACTATTAACTTAGTAATTAATTAACTAATACATAACAACAGTTATAATAATTCGGTGATTATTATATTACAAATAAGGTCTCGAAGGATTTCTGAACGAATTTGAATGAAATAATTAATTAATTATTCAATACACAAGTGCTGAAGTAACAAATATCTTGTGAAAATAATATTAAAAATGTATTTCAATTAATTAAGGTTTTTAGTTGAGATAAAAAAGGCAGTGTCACGAGCGGGATTCGAACCCACGAGTAGGTAGAGCACTTCTTAGCTCTCGGAGAGGGTGAGCTTGGGTGTTTCGTTCGGAAATCCTCCTTTGAAGTCAACCCATAAGCTCAATTGGTTTGAAGTCTGGAGAAAATTGCGGTGAAACCTTACA